TTCCCCAAGAGAGTGGCAAGTTCACAGTTGTCAAGATCGTCAATTTCAAAGATAGAAAGAACACGCCGGATTATATTCGCGACCTGTGCTATGGCAAACCTTACGCTGTGGACTGGTCAGGCAACGTGATCACGGTTAAAAAGTGCTTGCATTACCTGTTTGAGCAAATGGGTGGGTTTCAATGCCGTCATCATGTGCTTCGGACGGAAGAGGAGGGCAGGCCAGAACAGGAGAGAAGTCTGGAAGAATGGGATTTTGGGTTTGACTTCATCGAGGCGAAGGGTCCTCGTGAAAATGTCCGCAATCAACTTCTTCGCTGGGTCAGCGTACAAAAACCACCAGCCGGGACTCCCCCATTTACCGATGGCCTCAAGCACTGGTGGAGAAGAGTCTCCGCAACCTAGGTCAAGATGGAGCACTTGCGCAAGTGCATGAAGTATGGCCCTTGACCCTTTACGTCTTGGACGTCCGGGTCTTGAAAGCATTGGGTACTATCTTCTCATCCTTGACAGAAAAGGCACTTGGATTGCATGGTACACCAGGAACGGACAACACGCCGGTCGCACGAATTGTTGCCATGGCCCTCTCTCGCTACTGGATTACCAAATTGGGTAAGGCGGGTGAAATGGCCCCGTCCTTTCGGCAGGCTTCCGAGTTCGACTTCTTCCGCGGTTTCCTGATAGCACAAAGCTTCTGATTTTCGATATTTGGGTTATGGGTTGTATATTTGTCTACATGTACGTGTGTACTGCGCACTCTAAGGTCAATCTGGTACACAAACGAGACCGGATATCTTCGATGATGGTTGTCTCTGTGAGCAACCGCTTAAGAAGGTTAAAGCCTTCACGGATGTGGGCAATATCGAGTCCATGTCCAAGGAGCGATGGGGTGCTGCGAAGTGGGTTCGCGGGCAAGCGCGGACTTACTGCTCAAGCGATTTCGACATCAAAACAGAGCCACCCCTGAACCAACCTTTTCTGGACATCGAGTAAGGCATCCCCACCTAGGTGTCGCACTCCGACTTCCTGAAGATGCTGGAGAGTGCGTGGTGCTCCAAGGACTGTAACGATGCCAATATCATGGCTGTTCTGCAGCGCACGCATATCTTTGTCAACACTGCCAAATGTCTCTACATCCGACCTGCCAGTGAAACAGAAGGCCCTGTGCTCCGGATTCCCCTAGGTGACAAGATTGACTTCCTCCACGTGGACTCACGCAAGGTATACGACTACCATCGCAAGGGCGGGCAGGACGCGCCACAGGACTTCGAGATGAAAGTGAACTGGGAAAGGGACTGGGTTGCGAAAGCTATGGGAGGTGAAGTGAATTTACCAACACGTGCCACAATCATCCGTCGCGGGGGTCTTTTCCAAAGTGCTCCTTCCGAGTCTGCTGACTCTACCGTCAAGACCATCGTCGTGTCAAGGAACTCTTGGAGAAACACTTCGACATCGACATCCCTGCCGCAACCGCTGTCACTAACGTCAAGGATGAAATGCCGACCAAGCGAGAGCTGGAGATTTCTGCGCGTGATACTTTCAATAGCATCTGGGTTGATCCGAGATGTGCTGTTTACTTTGTTTGCATAGTTATTCAAGTTCATGCGAGTCAGATAGACAGACGACAATGATGTTACTGATTATTTTTCGTTCACTTGTTTCTGAAACTTTTCTATCCATGCATAATCAGGTAAGATGCGTTGTCTCGCAGCCGACTACGTTGGCAAAGCTATCCAAGTGGATGACTCCCCCAAAGCAGCCAACGAACCCGCCATCAAGGATGACCCCCCCGAGGCAGCCAAGGAACCCTCCATCAAGAAGGAAATCGTTTCGGCCTTTTCTCGCTCTTTGTCTTCCACCGATGTCACCATCAATCTTGTGGACTCTCCTGAAAAACGGTCTCCAATGCCTGCGGCTTCCTCAGCTATCAAACCCACTCAGGACGACCATCTGGAACGGGATCTTGAAGTGTTGCTGGAGGCAGAGCTTGCAAAGGAG